CTAAATACAAACCGGCTTGTCTTAATTCATCTAAATCGTTGAAACTGAAAAAGATTGAAACGTAAGTTCAAACAAATCATGTTTATAAACAATAGTAGATGTTATTGAAGGTCTACAGGATATTTACATTGGACTGCAAAGGAAGATAAGATCATCTATTTCCTCGAGTAAATAAATTGGTCCTTTAAGCAGGATGGAGCGCGCGCCCTGTGAGCCGCGGCGCGCATCGTTGACACAGCGAGCCTTCCATCTCATTAGTTCTAATTCGAACAGCATTGTCTGCATGCATACCACCTAAGAAGAATTTAGAACAATTTCGCTTTAGTTGACATCCCATTTAATTTATTTTAAAGGAAGAGGAAGATCCAAATGAGCTGACAATTACCTTGTCCCATGTAAACGATATTTTCGGTTTCCTCAAGCGCAGTATTTCAGAAACTGGTGATTTCAGGATTCTGTAGCTAGGTCCGCCCCAAGCTGCTACCAACTAAAACAAAGTAGGGTCTATTAAAAAAAAAAAACATTAAAATATCACAACCTTTCTCATTGTTGTCTAAATTAACAATGTTATAAAATCTGATCGTTGAACTCACTTTTTCCCCTCCTAGAAGGATTCTCATCTTCCTATCCAGAAGTACACCAAATGGAAACAGCTGCAGAAGTAATGAAGCTGGAATCGCCGGCAATAAGCATGGAAGTGATTTGCGCAGCATTAGAGATTGCACCTGAAAATCGATATGGAACACGATCATACCTTAGTTCGAGATAAACCAGTACAAAAAAGACAATTTACGCTTCATTTTATAAATATACAGAAGACTTTATTGATTGCATATTTATCTAGAATTATAATAAAAAGTAAGGAAATTCAATGAAGCAATTAATTTTGTACTTTAGTTTTAAAACTATTAACAGCTGTTTGCCACTCCATAAATATCGTATCGTAACGCACCTGCCCATTCGATTGAACATAAAACGTTCCATTTTAGATTGGATCCTATCAACACTTTCAATTGGCTATTGTCTGTTCACGCGGATTGTTTAATTACAACCCTTTTACAGTTTTATTTGGTTATTCAATAAGAGAACAATTTAATTGCCAGCAATAAGAAATCAATATTAAAAAAACTTATTGTTACAAATGCATTTGATGTTGGAAACCGAAAAATTTAGGCACATTGTACAAAAATATTGGACGCAACCTTCGATAACCAACTTTTATGTTTAAAATCAGTTTTCAAACTTCTTTCATATCTAATGTGAAACTTTTAATGTTTGAGTTATACTAGTAAAGCCAACGTGATCTATAACACGTGAACAATATTGAATTGCTCGAAATCGCTACTACAGGGTGGAACTCGACAATATTTATGTTTATTACAGTTTTACAACCATCAGCTGCACCTTTTACTATCAAACAAGGTGTTTAAATAGACAGTGTAAGTACTCACATAGTCGCTGTTATCAAATTCCAGCCGCAGCACCGCCACGTAATAGTTCCCTTCCATACTCTCTTTCATGACGGTCACTTTTAGCTTCAATGAGAAGATATCCTCAGCAATCTCGTACAGCTGACCTTTACAAATATTTTTAATATTTATTTGTGTACCGTAGATTGTCAATTGTTTCGCAGCCCATTCAACTGATTAGTTACACAACTAAAAATCGAGTAGTGTGCGCACTTCCTATACTCGTAAGCTCGTAGGAATCAAATGCGACTAAACAGTTGCGTTAAAACTAGCGTGCTCTAAAAATTCTTTGTTTGGCGATATACTCGTACTTACAGCTGATTTTGATTGTTTTGTTTTCGGTTTCTCATGTAACCCATCTAACAAAAATATCCAATAAACTAACGCTAATTACTACAGTAGTCTTAAATACGTAGGCGTGATGTCCTTCAAAAGAAGAATAAACAGCAATTTATTATCCGTGCACCATCTTTGGACAGCATCATCACTTTATTTAGGTAGGATCGTGGTCAAACGCTAGTTTAACGAACATAAATAATAGTTATGTATCTCACCCATAAGATAATGTGTATATCCAGTCCTGCCGCTGCTGTAGACTAGCTCCGCGCCGTGGATATGCGCTCGCGTTAGTTGCATACTCGGCGAACGCATCCTCGGGAAAGTGAAGCGCATACGCTGGTGGATGCTGTCCACTGACTGCAGGAACGTGCAGAAATAACGACCCGTCGCGCGTATCATTGTGTCATAACTGGAATGATGTTGAAGCTAGATAATAAGTTAGCTAGAATACTTTTAACGTCTAAGTAATATAACATAGAGCAAAATCAATTCTGCTAAAGCAAAAAGTATGTATTATTCCTATCCATCACCTGGCTTTGTCCCCTCGTGGGGACAGAATGGAACAAAAAGTTTCATCGTCCCCCCTTTAGCGATGGGAAAGTTGATTCTTCATTTATAGCTTAATGGTTCCATCTGTCCCCCATCACTATTAAGGGTATAGATGGAACGTTTTATTGCTTGTTTGTATTCTATGCAATTCTGTTCTGTTCTATTCGATTAAATTGTTTACGTCATTATTCATGCAACGCACTTACCCATAATTGGTGAAAAACTTCACGAAGCATCTACCAAAGAAGTCCATAACTTTCTCAGGCGTACCGAACTTCTCCCGCATTGAGTTCAATCGTTCAGTGTTCATAAGATTAAGACTATTTAATCTAGGTCTGGATACGCCTGAACCTCGCCGCCTGTACACGTCCAAAGCTACGGTAACGCTCGTCTTTCTAACAATCTGCTTCTTTTCTGAAGTGACGATAACATCTGATTGAGGCGATGGTGTAACTTCAATAGGACATTTACTGTCCGCATCGTCGTCAACTTCTACGATCTTCTCTGGTGCTTCTTTAACAACGTGATGCTCCAGATTTATAGCCAAACTCCTTCTTTGCAGATTTCTTATATTGGAAGTATTAAATTCTTCGCCTTCGTTGATTTTTTCTGTTGAAATGGTACTTTTTATTGGCATTCGTATTTCTTCGCTGGAGTTATACGCGGCTATTTCTTTCTTGGTGGCAGCTGCTAGAGCATTGTTGGCTGTGAATGGGCATCTATAGCTTTGGAGTCTGTTATCAGTGTGTACAGAAGCACTTCTCCAAGTGGGTTTGGATTTGAGAGATGTCTTTCTTGGTGTCGGACTGCCGGGTGTCGAAGCGGTTGGACTGTTTGGATCTTTACTAAACAGTCGGGCTAAAGTACAAGCCAGTCGTAACATGAGTGCATCTGGATATTGCTGTGAAAGGAATCATATATTTAAAGAATGCATAGCGAGTGTTAATTCTAGTTTAAAACTGTTACCTGTGTAGCGCTAAATACAGTGTTTCTAGCCCCAGACTCTCGTAGTATCGTCTCCCATATTTCTTCCCCGCATTCTTGCTGTTTAAAGAATAAAAATATAAATACGAGCTTTCGTCCGCGAGTCCGTGGGGTATTAAAAAACAAATCGAGTAACCATTTTCCAGGTTATTCTCTACATAGATACCAGATTTCATCGAGATCCGTTCAGCCGATTAGCCTCAACATTAACAAACATCCATCTATCTAAACTTATATTTAGTCATGTCTAATTTAGTTTTCCAGCCTCTAACAATGTATGTGACAAGAATAACATTTGTCACGCGAATTACGGATTAAAAGTTTCGAAATTCTCAAAACCTACGTGAGACCTACAATACGTTGGCATTGTTATTCACATGTTGCGCTCGCGTATTGCTAATAGCCATCATATAATATTCTACCTGTATTATTCGCGAATGATAATGGAGTAGTGTGCAAATACAATGCATTGAATCTTATATTACGAACGAATCGACGACCTAAGTGTTTTACAATTGTAGAAATTAAATACGAGTGAGTTTACATTGCCAAAACACGTTTACAAAAACATTGCTATCTCTTTTCTTTTAAAGAGAATATGAGAAAGGACAATATTATGTTTTAAACAAATGTTACACTTAATCTAAAGTAACTAATTCTTTGGTTTGTTTAATGTAGTGTTATATTAAATTTACGAAAATTACTTTTTGTTACAATTTTAGTACATAAAGTTTTAATTAGATTTCTATTGGAATGTACAATGAACGATGGACCGAGTACAATTAATAAAGATGGTTTAGGGTTCGTAATTAAAAGTAAAGCCTCGTAACTAATTACTCTAAAAATTATTACGATCAAAAATTTTAGCAGTAGTAGACTATGCCACAAAATTTAACGTTTCAGAAAAGTGATTGAACATTTTCATTATTAATATATCATCGCAGAAACTGTTTGGTTATGAATTAATAGTTTTTAATATAATAAGCTTGGATATCATAATCTTCTTAATATTTTAAACGTGAGTTTGTATGGATCTTGATAAAATCTGACGTAGACGTACAATATAGTCTGAAAGAGCACATAGGATACTTCTACCCTTGTTATTTTTTAATTCCGCGCGGACAGAGTCTCGGGCGACAACTAGTTTTATACAAAAAAACTTCTAAGTTAGATGCGTAGCCGTATCATGTTGAACAGGTAATCGTTTCGAAAACATGATAAGAAAAGCTCAACAAAATCTTTGCTTCTGTAAAAAAAAATCTATCGGGTATCACGTTCTTTATGACATGAACAAACAGTAATCAGAATAAGGAGAATATTATTACGTTTGTCTATGGTCAGTATGGCCAACTGATTGGTATGCCACGTACTAATTGTTTGCCAAATAAAACTTTTGTAGCTCTCACAATAGCCACTTAAGAATTCTCTAAAATAAATCGAATGTGTTGATTGAAAGTTTTCCAATTATAATGAGAATAATTCTATTTTTAGGTTAGTTTCGTTGTAATGTCGCAGTAGTTTGAATCTCTTGTATGTTAAGGCAATTCAATGAACGGTGCGAAAGTCGCGGCTTCTGTTCCCAGCCGTCATGTATAAAAGTCCACCTAAATCAAAACTAGTCATTGCTCGCGACTTCGTCTATGTGCAATTTGAAAATATAGTCTATATTACTCAGCGATAACGTAGCTTTTATTGGTGTAAGAATTTTTAAAATCGGCCCAGTAGTTTTTGAGTTATTTCAATACATACAAAAATACAAATCTTTCCTCTTTATTACATTAGTAAATATTAGAGTATAAGTTAATAAAATTTATAGTTTTTTAATGTAAGCATTTCTAATTTCAACGTAATTTTGCGACGCTAAAGTCTTTGTAACTATTTTAAATAGGGAATGTAATAAATAAACGATATAAACACTTTTCGTTAAACTGTGATTTTGTGATTTAAATAACTACTTTTCTTTATGCACACTAAGTTAACTTTTAACTTACCACAATAAAATGTTGAACACTTTCAAGTAACCAACCGTACATTTTTAATAATTTATATCTTAACCAATTAATTTAAGAATTTATACAATAAGCTATAGAAAACAGTTAAACCGACAGAACGGAATGTGTATTAGGTTGCCAAGGACGTGTATCCTTTGAGGCTTTCGTGCTAGCACTGAAATAAAAGCGGAGTGTACAACCACAGTAGCTACAGCCTTTTTAAGGCTATGACGATAGAATTATCCTGTACTAAAGAGAACTAACGCAGTTTTATAATTTTAATTACAATTTTGTAAAATAATGTTTATTGATTAACCTGTATTGATGGAATTAATTTTATTTTTACACCAGTATTTATTTATTTATTTTTTTCTCTTTATTTTTTAAAGGGACTTTTGTTTCTTAAAACATGTCATTCCCATAATATCTTAAACTAAATACCGAAACCATAAAAACACAATACAAAACAAGAAAATGAAAAAAAATAAAAAAAAACAAAAATAGTTTTAACTAGAGTTTTTAGACATGGTGTTAGACTTCGTGCGCTAGGTCCGTCAGTGGAATATTTATTTATTGGTTTGCAATACCATAAATGTATGGTTTATAGGATTATATATTTATAGGTATATAGGAAGCTATCTTGTCTACGCCATATTGTCTCCGAGATTTTCCACGTTAACTAAAGTTATTTGTTTTAAGATTGTTAAGCTGCAGTTTGACGACTTTAGTAGAATCATTTATATGTGTAGTGTAAAAAGCATTTTCATACTGTTTTCATGTTGCGTAAACAAGAAACTTTCATAGGGAACATTGACCGCTTTATGGTTTAGATTAACATAAGCTAAGAACGCATATAATCGGTTCTATACAAATATAATAATCACATAAGACTTAAGAATAAATATATACTCGTACTTGAATACATTGTCTGCCGAGCTATTTGTCAATTATTCAGAAATCACTTCATCTTCATTCATATCGATTTATCAACGAAAACATTGCATCTAATTTTCTATCTCCTATTTAGTTAATAAACGGTTGTTTGATACTTTGACTTTTAACGACAGGATCCGTCAAGTAAACACTCTTGTCATCATCATCAACATGTCTGTCAAATAAAATCGAGCGAGTAGTTTTAATATTATTTATAAAATCGTTTTGTGTGTATTTTTTGGATAAGTACGCGTTTAAGAAGCTTAATTTTATAGCATAATAGATTGTGCATGAATACCTTACATTATGTTTTAGACGGAAGAGCGGGACTTCGTAACACAAGTGCCTATTGGTTACTTAAAAGAAAGTCCCTTCAACTGATTAATTTGTAACTTAACTTGTTTTATTTTACATGTTAGCTTTGATATATGTATATATCATAACCTCTCACACAAAAAGTGTAAACATTATAGTACAATGGTGTATTACCTAGTCCATTTCTCTATAGTCTAAGTATTGTAATGATGTCATGGTACATCAATCAACATTGATAGTGAACTGAATTGATTCTGTGAAGCGCATCTAGACCATATCGTTGCCAATTGCGGACGCCCTTCCAAGGACGCAGCACGTCATGGGTTAATGTCATAATGCAACTGGGGCAGTTATTTTAGTTACATCTTGAGATCTGATCATTAGCTTACAAGCTATCGTCTTTTGTTTTGATTACAATATAACTTATAGAAATCTGTTAAATTGCAAGTCATAGATATTATTTTTTGATATCCTTTTGTAGGTTTTAAAGAGATTTTAAGTAATTAAAATTGTTACATTGTGAATAAAAAATTAATCTATCATTTCGTTGCATTTTGGAAAAACGATTTACTATTGAATAATCATAAAAATACTAATTTAAACATGTTCTTTACCAAATTTTAGTAATGCAAAAGCTCTTAACTAATCAATTACTTTACTACATTATTTTATACTACGTATAATGTGGCGAACGGCCACCTGAATGGTATCGTCACTTGACACACCCTTACCTTCAATAGCCGTTAATATAATTGCGTCGGTAACAGTAATTTACTGTGAGACAGGTTATTAAGTTAATTCAATCTATTTCTGTTTACAAATGAATTCAGCCGAAGTCTATTTCACCCATTGAACGAAAAAAAATGCTAAAATTTATATGAGTAAACTGTCGTCAGCGGTTTTTGAAAATCAGTACCATTTAGTGTCTTTTAAGCGAGTCTATCTCTTTCTTAAACGCCGGCAAGGTTTACTCTGGTGGTATGTCAATGGTTGTCGATGTTCCCGTCGCTCGTTTACCTTCTCCTTTTACTAAAGAAACGTAAAATTATACACAGTATAATGTTACAAACTATTTTAATGTTCAAAAGTGCACTTGAATTTACAGAAATTGATCAGAATCTATATTAAAAACTAGGTTTTGCTCGCGACTTTGACCGTGTGAAATTAAAAAAATATAAAAAACATAGCTTTTCCATGGTGAAAGATTTTTCGAAATGGGCACAGTAGTTTTTGAGTTATTATAATATACAAAATTCCAAAAATACAAATCTTTCCTCTTTATAATATTAGTACTCGTATAGACGAACATACTATTGCTATCATAATATAGTTTTAATATCAAATGACATAAGTTGGAAAGGCAATGTATCACAAGAGGGAATGTTTGAGACAATCTCTTGTCCCGAGGGAAACAAATTACGTAAAACGAAGCCTATGAGATCGAAAACTTGACATTCGATATTGGTCTTCTAAGTAGGTTTAAATATTATTAAATTTATTGTCCCTTGACTCATCATGTCTTTTTAATTCGTATTATCTTGCTTCTTACTAATAGTGTAAATGCAAAAGTTTAGATGGATGGATGTTTGTTAGAGTTTACAGCTTAAATCGCTGAACGAATCTCGATAAGATTTACCACAGATGTAGAACATTGTCTGGAAAAATGCATAGACAACAATTTAAGTTTTTATTTTTAAATCTGCGCGGACGCCATCGCGTTAGAACGCCAGTAATTTCTAACCCTTGAGAAAAGAGTTTTTTTTTAAAGAACAGAGATGGTTTTAGTCTGGAATTGTTTTGTAGTGGAAACATAAGTGTGTAAATGTTTTCGACAATCATTGTTACTTGCCTCACCCGACAATTGTCGGGTGTAAAGTAATTACTTTGTCCCATTAACTAATTAAACGTAGTGTGGTGACATTTCGTTTATTATTAGCTCACACATTTAGCTCAGTAGGTCATTTGATAGGTTTTCTAGCTGAAATATAAAAGAGAATATAAATACTCGTACTTATACTAAGAAAATCGTTAAGAAAAAGATTAGAACTGTTAACATTTTGCTAGAATTTAATATAAAAATCTAGGATTAATAAAAAGCTTGGATTTTGTTTTAATAAAAGACGGTGCCATTTTATTGCTGTCACAAAATCTTTTAAACCGTATCGAAGGCGTGGGTGTGTGTTTAATATTGTTAGAAAATAACACAGTCGCATAATTTATTTATTTATCTGGAATAAAAAATTAAGTAACTTAATTGTTGAAGAACATAAATTTGTATTTAATATATGTCAAATAGTCATACATTTTGAATAGGCAATCAATCTTAGGCTCTTGTGGCGCTATGGACGGTTAAGATGCGAATACATAGACTACGAATAAACAGAGATTACAAAGAGTAATTCCCTTTTTTAATTTTACGCATGATGTTTCGTAATTCAGGAGCCTCCATAATAAAGTTGATGAAACAGGATGCGTTCAGAATATAGAGTAAATATTACATGGTTCGACATCCAAGGTATTACTCATATCTATAGCCTATTAAGAGTCCGATATAAGAATAACAATAAAAATCTTAGTTTTCGCAGATCATGTGTACCAAATTATTGATACTTTTTGAACGATCAAAGTTACTGGCAACTAATAATTTTGAGTACTGGCTGAATGAGCACTGTGCATGATAGATGTCAAGACGACGAAAGAATAACTGATGACAGTTGTCGTAGGAGGGTGGAATGATGCGCTTTGTTATTATAAAATCAGTTAATCTGTGTAAATGTTTGAAACAGTGTTTCTAACGTTACGCGATTGTTATTTCATTATCTCCGACATACGCACACCCTCAATGGAAGATCGTTACCGTGTATATTATGTAAATTAAAAATAAAGATCTACCTTCAGAATTGAATTCCACAAACCGCTCGTCAATCCGACAAATAAAAAAAAATGTAGCCTGTTACTCATAAATAAATTAACTTTCTAAAGGGTGAGAGAATTTTTAAAATCGTCCCAGTAGTTTTTTAGTTATTTCAATACATGCGAAAATACAAAAATTCAGAACTCCAAATCTTTCCTCTTTATAATATTAGTGTAGCCGAGATATATGAATTTACTGGACTAAGTCCAACGTGGTTTAACTCACATATTTTCAAATAAAGTATTGCTTTTTGTAGTCTCTGTTTGATGGGTGGTCTGTGCAACACTTAATAATTGGCGCGTGCGTCGGTTGACCCGAACATTAAAAAGTGATCGTTTGCTTAAAGAATTGTTGCGTAGGTGATCGCGATTGTTGTACCACTAAATACACATTAGATGCGGCCTAGATATCGCCTGAAAACAGAGCCGCACAATCGCGGCCTGCTTACTTCACCAGAGGTAAAAAACAAATACTAGTTAATCTTTTCATTAGAATGTTTTGTTACCAATGAAGTAGTTATATGCTAGTGACTAGTTGCTTTGGGTCTACACAAATACGTTGTGCTGATTGAAAACCAACATATTCCTTAAATTGAATCCGTCAATAAAGTCGATTTGTGGCGAATCAAAATTTGTAATACTAAACTTACCGTAATGATATCCTTTAGTGACCATTCGACCTAAAATGCGGTGGTTAAACAATTCTTACTTATGGTCGTGGCATTGTTTATAAGGCAGTTTTCAGTTATTGATAGCAGCCGTCAGTTATCCAGCCCTGGACTGGCTAGAGCGCAGTGCGTGCGGGCCGAGCGCGCACGCATATTTATTGCTACTGGGCGGCCGGCCGCCCATTCCTTGCGGCGGGGTCCGCCGCGCTACCCCTTACACACACTATAGGTATGTCCTTTTGTAATATTTTTTTTACGGTTATTTCTATATTGTAGTTAATTTAAATACCTTTTTCTCGTCTATTCATTTTGTTTAATAGTTTTGATTTTTGGACCCCGTAATTCAGTTATTGATAATAATAATTGTTTTTTTTTATCTATTTTAGTATAATTAGTGAATGTGAAGTTATCTTTTTTAAGTTGGAAAATAAATTTCAACATTCGAGAAGCTCGTAAGAGCTTTTAGAGCTGTCATTATAGCTACTTGTTTGTTTGCTGTTATTAGGATTTATACTTGAACGGATTTATTTTGCGTGATTTATTACTTTTTTTAAGTTGTTATACATATCTGAACACATACAATAAAGCATTTTTTTTTTAATTCTGTGCGTCTCCAGACAGCAAATTTAAATGTAATAGTTTTCATTTTAATATTTGTACCTATTTTTTAACATTAACCCCTATAAGCCAAAAGCAATAGTAATAATTTTCCATTTTTTAGAGTTTGTAGCCTTAACGACTGAACGGATTTCGATGAAATTTGGCATAGATCTAGAGTATAGTCTGGAAGAACACGGGCTATTCTATCTTATTTTTTAAATTCCACGCGGACGGAGTCGCGGGCGAAAGCTAGTAGCTGCATAATTTTTATAACGACTCAACAGAATAACTATGTTACACTTGAATAAAAATACCGATTATTTTTGCTTGGCGTTAATTTACGAGATTTTTTACATTCAGTGAAAAACTTTTATACTATACATTATTAAACAAAAAGACCGATTTATTATTATTATTATTATTTTTATTATTTAACCATAACCATAATTTCTAAAAAGTTCTAGGCAGATTTTAAGAAAAGCCACACCTTTGATAAAATGATCGCACTGCTTTGTGGTTGTCGATTGTTTTGCAGCCAATTGAACAGTTTATTTGCATAAATAAATCGAGTAGTCTACGCACCTCCATATGAGCTCATAGGAATCATAGTGAAACTAAACAGTTGTGCGATAGTTTGCTAAATGCTCAAAATCAGACTCATATCTCAGTAACCAAAGCTTTGTGATATCAATCTGCTTGAATTTAAAGTAATTAAAAGTTGCCGAAATCACTAGAAAGTGGGTAACACTTATAGTTTCAATTGAGCGACAAATTGTTGCAACACACTTGCTAAAATTAATTAACTCAACAATTGTTCTTGTCATCTTTATTCTGACAGATGTCATATACGTTGGCCGGGTAGGGGTCAGTGGGACGCGTTCCATTCTTAATGGTTCTACGGTGACGTACTCTGTGGTCCAATTGATTTGTTGTTTTCGGATTCGGAATTTTATTAAACGGTAACGGAGAATAATTAGGGCAATTTAATGTTTATAAATTGACTACAAATATGTCAAGGCTAGTTTACTATCCTCATCGTGACAATTGGACACATAAGTGTGTGTTTGTTTTACTCTATACTTCTATACTATTATAATAAAGTGTAAACACAATCTTTCTTGCCTAAGATGTCAGCAATTACAGCATATTTTTAACAATTCTTTTTTCTATAAAAAGCCCTACATTTACGTCACGCTTTATGGTATATATTTTCACGCCATTAAACTTAGGAGGTAAATATTTTAAATAGAAACTATAATGTGGGAAAGAGATCATAAGTTGCTGTCAACATCAAGAAAGCAAGATTGCCAAGTTTTGTCATGTCATGTCATTTTGACATTTGCAATTGACATTTTGACACATGTAAACAATATAATAATTTTATGCTGATGAAGTCGCACGGGAACAGCTAGTTTAACACTAAGAGCGATGCACACCTGAAATTAAACTTTCGTATAACTGTTTAGTCTTGCTTTGGTTTGCTATGAGGTCATATGTAGGTGCACACTACTCGATATTTTGTTGTGTAACTAAACAGTTGAATTGGCAAAACAATCGAATATCGCACAACAGTTGTGCGACAGTTTAGTCAAAGGTGAGCCCGCTCTAAGACTAAACTATCTAATTCGACAGAAGAGTAATTCAGTCTTTTACAAGGATGGAAATACAAATTAATATCAGATAACATAAAAAAATTAAGAAAGCGATTACAAAAGAGGTGTTTTCAGAGTAAAAAAGGACTACTTTTTAGCTCGTCAACCCTAAGTTAGAAGTGACTAGGCCTTAGTCAACGCCGATCTAGTTCGTATTGGTTCACCCATATCTATGAATTTTTTCGCAGACATATGCAGATTCCACCACGATTTTTTCTTACGGGTAAATCTTGTAATGAAATTCAATACTCACATAGGCATAGCAGGTTTCTAGCCCAGGACTCGATTGCAAGCCAAGTACTTAAACCCCTTTAGTATGGTAGTTATGAAGGCAATTAAATCTGTCTCACGAGAATGTTAGAACTGTTAGACGTTTCTATTATAGTCTGACAGATTAAATACGAACTTAACTGAAATGTATACTTGTGACCCATTTAGGTTACTGAGTGATATCACTCGTGAAATAAATCACCGGTGACAGTTATGAAGTGAACATGTTCTAATTTGAGTTGAGATGAGAGTTGCAAGAGTGGGGCTTAGTTATTTTTTTTCAAAATTTAAAGTCAAAATACGTATACATACTAAGTTTGAAAGACTATTTTATTATGTTGTAGGTTTTTAAATTCGTAAATCTAAGTGTTATAGCTAAATTATTTGTAGAACCTTTAGGGATTAAATTAAACTTATTATATAGTTAATTAAAGTTTAACGCTTCTTCACTTTAACAACTTAATCTATCTTCTTCTCTATAGAATATATATCTATATATAATAAAATTGGAGTGTCTGTTTTTAATATCAAAAGAAAGATGGCAGATTTCGGAAAGAAGATGAAT